CCTTCCTCAGTCACATGGCAGTGGCAACTTCTCAGCCACAGAGTCCTTGTGAAGACTGAAAGTGATAATAATGCATGAAAATGCAACTGACAAATGAGAACTGTGGGTTAGCAGTAGCAGCTCATTTCACCCCTACATGAACAGACTCCTGGGAAAAGAGCAAAACAGCTCCCCCAGGAAGCTCCCTTCTCTGAATTCTGTGCAGCCACTGCAAGATGACACACAGTCTTGCATTTGATTACTGTGTAGCTTTGCCTAAGATTATCTTGCAGCTCACCAAGATTCAAAGTTTCTCCTGGAGCTACAGAATCTTGTACAGAGCTAAAGGTAGTGGCAGCTAAATTACACTTAACACCATAGAAAGGGTTCCAGGTCTCTGAGTGCACAAACCCACTTAGAGCCAAGGGTCTCAGTTTAACTCTGGTTTTAAGAGAAAGATTTTTCTTTTCTTGTTTGTTAAAAAGGCTTTAAACCAACAAGAAACTCTAAAGATAAAACATTCAGCAATGTTAATTTTCAATGCCATATGTTTCTCTCCAGCTGCTCAAGGTCATACCTCCCCACTGAATGATTAGAGGGTTGCTGATATGGTACATGGGGGGAACACACACACATACACACTCACTCTCGCTCTCGCTCTCTCTCTCTTTCTCTCTCTCTCTGTGTCATATGAAGTCCAACCTCTAATAGAAAGAGCGAACAGTTCAGATCCCAGCCAGCCATGACAAAGGACTGACAAACCAAACAGACAGGAGCCCTTGAGCATCTGTGAAATCTGTCTGTTCCTCTGCCTCCTCCGAGAAACGAATCACAAGACTGCTCAGAATAAGAAACCAAAAGGGCAGAAGCTCAGAAAGCAGCCGGGCCTGAACTGCATGCTGTTTCCAAAGAGTGAGCTCTCATACTGTGTTGGTTTTCTGCACAGTGGGCAAGCAGGCTGACAGCTTGAGGGGGCTATTTTAGGGGGATATATGCTGCAAGTCTGGCTTAGAGAGGGCCCTAGGTTCTGCACTCCCAGTAGGCATTTCAGCTCCCAGGCAGAACACGCATCCCCACAGGGGTTAAGAGCCCAACGCTAGCACAGCGTTTGCAACATCCCGAGGGGATCCCACACCTCAACACTCAGCTAAAACCTAGGGGAGGTGAGAGAGGAGACAGAGGAGTGGGAGAGGGCCCTCTACACCCGTTACTACTGGCTGCGCTTCCAGAGAGGCTGATCCAGGAAGCTAAATACACTGAAAAACAGAAGGAAGGGGCTGGGAAGACTAGAACAGCCTGAAGAATGGCTAGGATTTCCATCCTTAACTATAGAATTGTTGCTTTTAGGGCTGGCACAGGATCTAGCACTGTTCCCTCCCTTTCCCTCCTCCTCCCCTCAGCCGGACACCAAATATCTCCTACTGTGTGCGCTCCCCTTGTGGTGGTGCTGGGGGGATGTGGCAGCTTGGAATACTATTCATAATGGTCCCCAGTGTCTACCTCCCTTACACACAGGGAATCTGGAAAGGTTTCTGGGTCATCAGAATTATCTCTTTCTGATTAAAAAAAAAAAAAAAAAACTCTAGCACAAGCAATACATATTTGCATACAATACCCAGTTACACACACACATCTACATACCTGCACCTTTCCACAAAATACACATTTCTGTACATACACATATACCTGTTTTTACAGTAGGTGCAAGGCAGGCAGCCTCTATCAAATCTAGAATTCTGTGCTTTCCTCATCTGATTCCAGCAGCAAAAGCTATTTGGATTATAAATTCTCGGTTATAAAGCCTGATTAGAGATCAAAATGCCACCTGCTTGCTTTCCTCCCCACCCCACTCTACCCACCCAGTGAGATTTGTTAATAAATGGGGAAACAAAGATGGAAGAGAGATCCAGTCTGCATTCTTTGCAAGAGGGAGCACACACTTGTCGGAGCATTTTAGATACTGTGCTCCGGTAAACCCTAGCAGGCTGATCCTCTTTGCTTTCAGAGTGGCTGGGGTGCAGCTCTCAGCCTGTTAATAAACACATCTATCTTCCTTCTCACTGGTAGGCGCAAGCATTTTCTCTGACCAAACCCATGCTTCTGCATCTATGTTCAGCCCCCATAAATCATATTCCATTGTTTTGGGGAAATCTGAATTCAAGTTTAACAAGCCATAAACCTCATCTCTCCACCCCCAACCACTCTAAATTTCCCTCAGGGAGTTAAAAGGCAAGCTCCCACACATGACAGAAAAACAAAACGGGGTAAAAAAAAAAATACCGACAAATAACCATGAATGTCTTCGTTTAAAGGGCCTGTGATTCTTCAGTCAGGTGTGAACTCAATGGACATCACTGGAAGCAGAATTTGAACCTAACGCTAAATGACACACGATCTTGCTCTTCATGACCATAAGTGCTGCAATGGCTAGACTAAATGGCTCTGCTGCAGAATTTCTCCCACTTCAAGGTTATTAAGAAAGATAAGATTGACTTAAAATTTATTTCAATGTGCTCACCCTTCTTACACCAGCACATTCAGGATTCTTATTCGTAACTAGGCTTGACCTAGCACAAGTTCTCTATTTTGCCCTTAGACGCGGAGAGGGACCTGCTGTGCTCTCCCAGGTGGACCTGTATCTCAAATGTTCTGAGATCGAAATTAGATCACAGATGCTCACGGCATAAAGTCTGCCAAACCAGGTCCATAGACTGGTACAGTTCTTAAAGAGACAATACGGAAAACAGCTGTCTAGGGCTGGGTGGCTTTAATGACATCCTGGAAAATATAGCACAGTATAAAAGGACTACACAGAGTGAATGATTTTGGAAATTCCCCAGTTCTTAACTACAGCCCCAAATGCGCATGCTTTAAAACACAGCTAACTGACTTTGCAAGCCCAGCTTTAGCTCCGGGCATCCACAACACAGCCTGCCAGAGGTCTGCAGACCACTCCCTTCTGAGAGAGTCCAGCTAACCCTACCGGCCTCCCAGCAGGCTGCAGCACAATGCCCATATCCAAGTCCAGGCACCAGCTGGAGATCCCTTGGGCCTGCCTTCCCATGTGCCGTGTTCCTGACTGGTTGAACAATAATCAGAGAAGGCCACAGGAAAAGCCGCATCATGCCCATCGCGGCCACTCCCTGGCCCTCATCAACACCGGTTGCGCGCACTTCTACGGAAGAACATAGCGTGCAGAAACACAGGCCTACAACAGAAGGCCATGGAACAAGAAATACCAGCATGAGAGGACGGCTGGAAACGGCTGGTCTGCAGCTTTCAAAGAAGGCAGAGGCTGCAGAACTTCTGCAGAGGAAGGAGTAATATTTTATCAGCCAACTCCCACAAAAACAGGCAGCGAAGAGGAATGGGGCAGCCGCAGCTGCCAGCACCCCAGCCACCGTCTCCAGGTACTCAGGGCTTGCCTGTGACCACAGCGGTAGGCAGGACACACCTGAAAGTACCTTCCGGAGGAAAAGCAGGCACCTTAACGCTGCCCGATCGGTCCCTTCACGCCTCCCCACTCTTACGAAATCTGGAATGGCGCGGTCAGGGAAAGTTTCTAGATTAGGAAGAAAACTAAGCCGTGTCGAGACGCCGTGGGTGGTCTCTCCCTCAGCTCTCACTGGGCCAGCTGCTACCTGCCTCGCCCCTGTCACCTGCTGTAAGGCTCACTCTTGAGCTCTCAGTGAAAAACGTCTCCCCCTGCCTCCATCAGCCACTCCGGGCTTTCAGAAAAGCCCCCTTTCCCGCCCCGCAACTAGGAAAACCTAACTTCAATGCACCCCTAAAGTCCGACCTACAGGTGTGACGGGTTCCAGTGCAGGGGTAGGGTACTCCCAGGAAGTGAAGGAAAAGGCCCCCGACGTCGTTGTCACTGGAAAAGTGCTAGCCACGGCCTCCGCCTCGCCCTCTCCACCCACGGGTTCGGAGCCCCCAGGCGCAGTCAGAACAATCCTCGCTCCTGCAGCTTCGTTTGTTTCCGGAGAGACACGAACAAGCCAGCCCACGGAGCGTCTGGACTTGCCCGCCTCAGCACCCACGCCTCCCCCGGGCCAGGTTCCAGCGCCGCCTCCGACACCCACCCGCGGGCCGCCTCTTACCGCCGGTGTCCTCGAAGTGCGGGGGCGGGCGATCCCGCAGCGCAGCGCTCCAGCCTGCGCCGGCCTCGTCCTCCTCCGGCTCCTGCGCGTCCGGGGCACAGGGTGGCGGCGGGGCGGCCCCTGCGGGTCCCGGGGGCTCGCGCTCGTCGTCCGAGGAGGCGGCCGAGGAGGAGCGCGAAGCGGCCGACGTGCTGTAGAAGGGGTTCCCGCCGCTGTCCGGGCCGGACTCGCCGAACACGTCGTCCGAGATGTGCAGGCTCTCGTAGCGCGCGCGGGCAGCCTCGAGCAGCGCCGGCGCCCTCCTCCGCGCGCCCCCGCCGCCCTCGGCCATGGCCCCGGCCGCCGCCCGCGCGCCTGCTCCCCACAGCGCCTCCCAGCCGCACGCGCCGGGCCCCGGGCCCGCGCCGCGGCCCGCCGCCCCCCACCAGCGCAGCCCGCAGCACAGCGCCCGCCGCCCCGCGCCCGGCCGGCCCGCCGTCTTGGCCGCCTCGGGCCCAGCGCCCGGGGAAGCGCCCTCGGAGCTCGGGCACCGCAGGCTGCGGGCCGCGGCGGGAGGCGAGCCGCGCGCGGGGGTGGCAGGGGCGACCCAGCGCGGGCGGGACGCAGAGGCTGCGGCTGAGACCAGGCGCCGCCGCCGCCGCCGCCACCACCACAGCCGCCGCTGCGTCTCCTCGGCGCTCACCGCGTCCCTGCGCGCCCTCCCCGCAGCCCACGGCACTCGGCTGCCGACCTTCCCCGGCGCGAGCCGCCAGAGGCGGGCCCCGCCTCCTCGCACCTCCCGCCCGCCGGCCAATGGAGAGCGCGGCCCGGAAGGCCGCGGGGATGCTGGGCGGGCCCGGCGCGTTAACGCCTCCACCCTCCTCGGCGGGGCGGGGCGGGGCGGGGCGCGCGGCCGGGGCTGGCGAGAAGGGGGAGGGCCGCTGGCGGCCTGGCGGTTCTCCTCCTGCAGGGACGCGCAGCCCGGGACCGCCACAAGCAGCGCGGGGTGGGGAGGGCGGGGCCGGGGGACAGGAGGGGAGGCGCCCGGGCGCTTTCAACGGTCCAGGTCTGCGGATGGAGCGGGGACCCACCCGCTCACTGTCCCCTTCAGCAGTCAGCGCCTGGCGCCAGGGAGCTGTCCGCCCCGGTGGTTCTGAACCAGGCGCTGCTGAAACGCTCCAGGTAGGCTATGGGCCCGACACTCCTGCGGCGGCTGCTGCCGAAGCTTCCCGTGGGTCACTGCCAGCTGCTCCGCATGCTCCCATAAATACAGGGGCTGTCCAGCTTCCGGGAATCTCGTTCTAATTAGGAGTCGGCCTTGTGGATCCACTGCTGGGGTCGGATGCTAACTCCGTCTCGCTTCAGTATCCTTGTAATTTAAGGGTGCCAGCACTGGAGTTAAGTAGGTAGTCATTCGTCATCATCTTTGACGCGTGGCATCTTTTGAACTCAAAATATCCATTACTTCCAAATATCGATTACTCTCACACCTCTATTTGAACATCTCCTTCATACACACACTCGAAACACTCATCTAGTAAAATGTTGCATGATCACCCAGGCTTCAGTGCTCTCATAAACAATAGCATCGAAGGGTTACATCCAGCCCTCTTCCTTTTGCAGGAATGTGTGGTGGTCATCCTGTTGATGGCGATACATGTAACGGAGATTGCCTTGTCTTCTTGCTCTCCTCCTCCTCCCTCGAATAATGCAATAAGTCACGCTAATGGTAAATGGGCCATAAAGTCACTTTCACTCTGAAATAAAATAAATCCTCGAAGATGTGAAGGGCTTACAAATCCTAATGGGCATTAACTAAATTATAGTTACACAAAACAGAAAGGCATGTTGCGATTTCTATGAATACATAACGGGTGAAGGACCATTTTGCCGCCAAGTGGGGTCAGACCTAGTGTCTAGCAGGAACCTTCACTCATGCCCTCCCCTCCCCAGCCCCTGTGGTTCCTCCTTCCAAATCAGGGGCTCTGCACAGGCATGAATTCATGATAATCACCAACAGACACTATATAAAAAGGAAAGGATTCATGGAACATTGCTTGCTATGTGGATTGGCTGAAAAATGAAGAAGTGCTTGCAAAGCATTTCGACTTCCTTGGAAGAATTATGCCACAAAAAATATCTGGTTTCCAACATACCTATATACTGTGGTAACCAGCTGAAAGATTTTGAAGAGGGTACAGGTAATCAGACTTATCAAAAAGGGTTATAGGCCGGGCGCGGTGGCTCACGCCTGTAATTCCAGCACTTTGGGAGGCCGAGGCGGGTGGATCATGAGGTCAAGAGATAGAGACCATCCTGGTCAACATGGTGAAACCCCGTCTCTACTAAAACTACAAAAAATTAGCTGGGCATGGTGGCGTGTGCCTGTAATCCCAGCTACTCAGGAGGCTGAGGCAGGAGAAATGCCTGAATCCAGGAGGTGGAGATTGCGGTGAGACGAGATCACGCCATTGCACTCCGGCCTGGGTAACGAGAGAAACTCTGTCTCAAAAAAAAAAAAAAAAAGGGGGGGGGGGGCGGTTATAGTAAAGCACAGGTTGAAGATGCAAGAAGCAGAATAAGACTCCATAGCTCAAAAGTCTGGAATTAGGAATTGTGTGAGGCCCCTACAAGATTTCGTGTTATCTATTTAAAATAGTTGAATGGAAAAAATAATTGAATGGGATCCAGAGAGTTAAAATCTGTTGGAAAGAGTTCCTTCTTTCCTTCTCCAGCTAGCCAGTGAAAAAGTCAACAGCTAAGGTGTATGTTTTAAAAACAATGAATTGCTTTACTACCCATAAGGAAGCAAGGAACAAAGTAACAGCAGTTACAAGGATGAAAGAAGTCTTCCAGTGTCCCTAATTTGCATTTGCATGGTCCTAATCCCCAGGAAATCTTGGGGACTTGTGATTGCTAGGCTCACAAATGCTTGTAGCTCACATTGCATGCAACATTGAGGAGAGTTGGTCACAAAAGAAACACTGAGAAATCAAATTGTTATTTCAAAGCTTGTCCAATAAAAATTAGATCAGTGTTTCAACCTAGAGTGAAGTATTTCATATGTTACTGTGTTTAAGCCAGTGTTTCCAAACAAGAAAACAATATTCCAACCTTTGAAAACAGGTGACTGCTTCTCACTGTGATAAGAGGAGGGGTGAGGGGATACAACAATTGTAAAACAAAAAAACTTTCTACTTTGGCTGGCATCCTCCTACTTGATAATCACCGTTATGATTCTACATCATTAACTTTTATTAGTAACATTATTTGTGAGAATAATTATAGTATCAATATCACGCTGAGAACTTTTAACTTTGAGTCTTTTGAAAACATCTTCCAAATAATTTAATTATGAAATATAATTAATTTTAGATGAATATTGAGCTTTTGGTTTTGTGGTTTTCCCAAAGAGCTCAAGGTAGTAAAAAGCAATTCATTTGTGTAGTAGAGTCCTTAGGTTTTGTTAAACCAATGGTTCATGTTTTTATGTAACTAGGGCTAATCACCATATTTCATTAAGTCTAAATAAACTTCCTTTCACGGCACAGTGCACCATTGTTTTATGTATCACTAAAAAACAAAAAAGTGCTGCCATAGGAAACTATGATACAATGGTTTCTTTTCTGTTCTAATTTTAATTTAAACTTATTGATAAAGCTATTTGATAATAATTTTTGGACAGATTTTTGTTATATATCACTCTAATGCATGCATAAAGATAAAACACAAATTAACTGGTTAAAGTTTCCCTAATTTCACATTCAGAATCTCTTTATCCTTGCTTACTTTCTAACTCAGAGTTGTCAATGCCCAGGTTTTCTCCACAACATGCTTCTCCAAGTCACTCAGAGCATTTGGTATGCTGCATTTCTTATATAAGTGCTCCTAACTCCTCTAAGCTACTGGCCTCCCACTGTATGTGTCCCCAAAGCAGGAGCACAGCAGCTATGGTCAGTCAGCACTGAGGAGGCCGATGAGAGAGCTGAGAGAGAAGTGGTAGCAGATGAAATCAAAGGAGGTTGGGTGGGTGTTAAATCTTGCAAGACTTTGAATTTTATTTGGGGTGATATGGGAAGCCACTGGAGAGCGTAGAGCAGAGAAATAAGATCTTGATGCTGGTGTTTTGTTTGTTTTGTTTTGTTTTCCCTGATCCAAGGTTTTCATACTATAACTAGATTTAATTTCCTCCTTCCAGTGGTTCTCAGAAGGCCTGTGGCCTGGCACAGCAAGGGATACATGAGGTCAGGCACACCCTAGGAATAGCAATGAAGTTGGCATAGGCTCAGGCTCTGTTAAGTGCATAGGGATTTTCACTTTCCCAGCACCAACTATAAGACATTCCTGATGTTAGAGATGTAAAATGTGAAAAAAAGGAAGAGGGCATCTTACAGGCCATAGAATACAGTATATATTTTTCCTTGGTAGTTTTACAAGTCTTGATTTTGCAAATAGTGAAGCTGTTGCAGGACACAGAAATGAACATGAAAGCTAATGTGCAGAGCACGCCTTGGCCAGCCCCAGACTGCACAGGCCAGATGAGGCTTGGGAAGTCTGCGTGTTGCGGGTCACTATAGATGGAGAAGGCAGGGATGGAGTTAGTGAAGCTGCTGCTTCTCCCCATGTTGTCCTCATCACACAAAAGGAGGGGGCTACAACCAAGGAGAAGCTCCTGGGACTGAGAGGGTAGGGGGAGAAAGAGTACAGCTGCTGGACAGTGGGCCACATGTGGGGAAGGAGGTCACAGGAGAATATGCATGGCACAGGGTGACATTTGGGCTCATATGTAACACAGGGACCTAAGGGTCCAACCTCTCTCACAGTGCTTTTATGTGTAAATTTATCCAGGATCCAACACAGAGAGGCAGAAAAAAGGAAATAGGATAATCCTGTGGAAGACTCTCGAGAAAATTCCCTTGTATTCAGATTGAGATGATCTAACTTTTTCATTGACTCATTCATTCATTCACTCACTAATTCAACAACTATGTATTGAGTCCTATTATGTGACAGGTTCTCTTCTAGGCACTGGGAATAAACTAGAGAAAAAGAATGAAGACTCTGTTTCTGTAGCACTTATGTTCAAACGGGGAGGGAGAGAAGAGACAAAAAATATATAACCCAGTAAATATGTGTATACCTGTTGTTGATAAGGGATAAAAAGTAGAGGGACAGAGACTGGTGGTTGTTGTGATTGTGGTGCTGTGTGGGTGTGTGGGTGTGTGTGCACGCACAAGCTTGTATACATTGGTTGGGAGAAGTTGCTCTGATAAGGTGACATTTGGGAGAAACTTGAATGGATTAAAGAAGCAAGCCATATGCATTCAGGACCAGAAACAAGTGCAAAGCACCCAAAGCAGGAGCACGCTAGCTGTGGTCAGTCCGCACTGAGGAGGCAGACGTGGTTGAGACAGAGAGAGAAATGGCAGCAGATGAAATAAAAAATTTGGGTGTCAAATCTTGCAGGACTTTGGATTTTATTTTGGGTGAAATGGGTAGCCACTGGAGAGCACAAAGCAGAGAAGTAAGATCTGACTTGCATTTTAAGGGCCTCACTTTAGCTTCTTAGAGGCAAATAGACTGAAGTGAGGAAAAGTGGAATCAGGAAGACCAGTTAGGATACTATTGCAATAGTCCAGGCCATAAAACAGGGTGTTTGGGACCAGACTGGTAGTGAAGGAAGTGATGAGAATTGGTCAGATCAGAATATGTCTTGAAGGTAGAACACACAACTTTTATGAAAGAATTAAATGTGGACAGTGAGAGAAAGACATGAGTTGAGAAGGACTCCATTTGGGCTTTGCTGTCGTTGTTTGCATGAGCTACTGCAAGAGCAGCAGGATTAAAGGGGAGGAACAATAGCTTGGTTTTCAGCATGTAGAGTTTTACACATCTGAGTGGGTCTGGAAAGCAGGTAGTTGAAAACAGGAACCTAGCGTTCAACCAGGTCTAGGCTGGAGATAAAATTGTGAGTGCCATCAGCAGAGAGATGGTAGATACATCTTGGTTGTTGTTGTTCTTGTTGTTTTGAGACAGTCTCACTCTGTTGCCCAGGCTGGAGTGCAGTGGTGCAATCTCAGCTCACTGCAACCTCTGCCTCCCGGGTCCAAGCAATTCTCTTGCCTTAGCCTCTTGAGTAGCTGTGACTACAGGCACCTGCCACCATGCTGGGCTAATTTTTG